CCGACGATACATCCGAAGTCGGCGGACTCGCAGCTCGGCGCCGCATGGTGCAATGCAAATGCGACGAAAGACACACTCGTCCGAGTCAGCCTTGTACTGTAGCTGAGGGCTGCCGTCGGGTGCCAGCAGCGGAGTGCCTAGAGTCGCGTCGAGAACTGGGATCTTCTTGCAAGCGTCACCCCCGAGAATCTTACGTGCGAAGCCCGCGAGAACCTTATCAAGAGCTCTCTCCTGCGTCGTCGTTAATATCTGCGTCGTTAAGCCCGTAAGTAGACCGCCCTGGACCACCGCCCCAAAGACCGTCCGAGTAAATTGCCAGACACGATTGCGAGCCCAGAACCGCCCCATGGAATAGTACCCTCGTCTACACGCGAGAACCCTCCTCCTGATCTCCACCTGAGTCCCCCCATTTACTGCACTCGAAATCCCCAAAGTAATACTGTCGAAAACAACCTGGCCCGCTACTGGAACTTCCCCTGTAAACATGGCCCTGGAGTAGACCTGGGAGCCAGCTCCTACAAAAGACGGCGACACCTGGCTCTTGTCCGCGTTATGTTCGTACCCTCCTTCCTCCTTTAGAGCCTCTCTGAGCCTTTGGTGCGATATGTCCAGCACGTGCTGGGCGTTCAATGCAGAGGCCACCACGTGGGTAGCACTAGAACCGTCGGCATAAATCCGACAAGCCAACGGCACAGGGCGATGGATGAACGGCGACCACGCTGCACAGAGGTCCTCGGACGGCCATACAAAGTCATCAGCTCGAGCGGGAGGATGAGGTGGGGCCAGTGGGTGACTGATCCATTCATCGTACGTCGTAGGGCGAGGTGGAGGAGGAAGCTGACCCCAAGAATGCTGCCGCATAGAGTCCAACCACATCTGCACTGCTCGGCGGAAGGTACGCGCAAAAAAATGCCGCTGGGGTATCCCCCATAAACGCTCCGCACCTGTTACGCAATACTTGCTCCCCGTCCGATGCAGGTATCATAAACGTGCTGAGATGATGCCTCTGCGTGAAATAGACTTGAGACTCCTCTGTGATCGACTCCTCGACTGTCCTCTGGAGGGCCTCGAACGACGTGCACCCGAACGCAGTAGACATATCCTCTTTGGAAGCAACCGAAGAAATACCTAAACGACGAAGGCGCCAGTGGAGGGCCTCTTGACAGATAATAGCACCTTCCCGGTTGCGCCCTGGGAGGTATCCGTGTTCTCTGTCGGGGACCTGGTCTGAGGGGCCCTCTTGCAGTTGGGCCTTGTACCACAGAACTCCGAGACGACATAACCCGTACACATATCATTTCGCACTGAACCCAATTTTACCGTTCATTTTACTGAGTCCAGTTGCCCGAGAGTGATGCCACACCAGCGGGGTCCGTCGGACCCGTCGTATGTGATGGAAGATGTGCTTGAGGCCTCTGAGGGCGCCCTCGTTGGAGATCCCCTCGGGGGCAGAACCAAGACCACGCCGGTCACGCCCCAGACGGTGCCGTGGAGGGGCCCGCTCAGGGCCATCAGGAGAATCGTCGCCAGCATCATTCTGGCGTCGTCGGTGGGAGCCGTCGAACCTTCTCGCGGGGTCGGCCGCGAGCATCAAGATCTCTGTCGGCACGCTGTGCAAGGGCGCCGCCTTCCGTCTGGAGGCGCGCTCAAGTAAACCAACAACACGGGCGAGATCCTCTCGCCCTTGCTCAGCCGCTAGGTAGTTGTCAGCAGAGACTGGCGGCGGAGCTGGAAGATCCTGGAGCTGCTCGCCCCGAAAGGCGGCGAAGCTATCCACTGGAAGAGCGCGAAACCCGCCAGCGGGTCCATCACGTGCGAAATACTCACGTACTTCTTCGGCCCTGGGGGCAAACTCGGTGGAGACGTTATACCGTCGTTTACGTGGTCCCTGGCACTGTCCCGCCAGGAGGTGGGCTAGTCTCCAGACCTCGGCGTGTCGTTGTTCTTTCCAGGCCTCGCGGATTTCGGTCACGAGCTGCTCAGAGACTGCATGAAGTCTAGCCCTCCGAAGCTGACGAAGGTGCCTCGAAATTCTGGCTAGGGCCATCGCCGTCGGCACGTCGTCGTCCCCTATGGATCTCTGGTGCCTTCTGAGGGCCAGCAACCTCCTACGTTCTGCAGCATATCGTTGAGCCTGGGGGTCCTTTGTCGAGCCCTTCCCGAAATGTCGTTCTCCTACCTGATACACCGTCGAGATCCATCGCTGCCATGCATCATCAGGTGCCGTCGCTGTCTCTAGCAAATCTTGCCATTCAGCCTGTCCCGCAAAGGCCTCCTCTAGGTCCCTCATGAAGCCCGAGACGCCCGTGCCATGCCGTAGTGCTTGTGCGAGCGCATCGTAATCCCAACGGGCCCCCTCGGGTCTGGACCACGACATGTCGAAACTGTGCGATGTGGATAGCAGTATGGGAATGTGATCCTGGAGCCCTCTCTTAGCGATCAGCTTCAAGCGAAGGTTCGAACGACGCAGGCCACGACAATCTCGAATGAGAGACCGCTGCCACTGAAAAACTGCCACATGATCAATCGAACTCGAACCTCGGTGTCCGAAGAATGTGTCTCCTACGGGGAAGTCCATTGAGGGAAAACATATACCATGCTTCTCACAGAGTTCCTGCACGCGATCCCCTGCATAACGTTGCTCGCCTCTACCGCACTCACCAAAAACTTCGGACTCGATGGGGACTACGAGAGGGCCTGGCTGGCGTCGTTGCCCGAGGGAGTCATTTAGGCCCATACCCCAGAACAGCGTAGAGCGCGCCCGAGCCCAGGTGAAACTTTGTTCCAGCCATGTGCACATAGAGTCGACCGTACTGCGGTACTTCCTGAACGGGCTCTCGACGGATTCTCTGCCGTCTCGTCGTTGTGACGGGCGGGGAGGGAAGTATGTTAGCGGCGCCAGCACATCGAATCGGCCTGAGCGGATCCTGTGGAGGGCGACACGTCCTTGGAGATGCCGAGGAGGGGGAGGGGAGTCAACCACACGCTTCTCTCGAAACTTTTGTCGTCGGAGCAGGAGCGCCAATCCACATGCCTTATTTACATGTCGCCCTTGCACAAATCCATAACGAATTGCGAAATGGTGAGGCAACTGACAGACGGTGCTCAACTGATCTCCTGCTCGCTCTCCTGTGCCAAGAAATAGCGATGATATCTACATTGCGAAGCTCCTCTGAAATATCACAATATCGAGTCGTGTCCGCAGCCATACAATTCCAGTGCACGAATGTGATCTGGTCAATCCCGCCACTCGTCATGACAAGAAGCACCGTGCACAACTTACGCCAACAGGCCCAAGACGAGAACATACATGGCTGCTGCACGACTGCCGTGGGGGGGCAGCCCTAGCGCGAGTGCGGTACGCAGGTATGCTGGGGTTCCTGGCCCCCAGTGCCGGCACCTGAGCGCGCGGGGGGCTAGGAGGAGGAGGAGGAGGAGGAGGAGGAGGAGGAAGAGGAGGAGGAGGAGAGGCCCGACGCCTCCGCAAAAATTGTAACATCGCTGAGAATCACGGCTGGAGCCGCAAACCCCACCATCTGCGCCAGTTGTCGAGCTGGATCGATCTGTGAGGACCCCGGGGCCCGACTCTGGGCGAAAACGCCCGGCTCGAAGGAAATGGGCCGCCAGCATCTCAGGGGAGAGGCAGCGGGGATCTCGGGGGAGGCAGCGGGGTCCCAGGCCACCGACGCCCACGATGGATTCACAGAAGGCGACCCCCGGAGGTCTCGACCCCTCCCTGGGTCCGCTTTCTCATCCTGAACCGTTTTTTGTTGCATCTTGAATACGGGCCTCGGACCGAAGCCTGGCGAGGGCCCCCGGCCTGCTACTGCCACCTCCCCCGAAGCTGCGCTTTCCTCGCAGGCGCGGGGGTCGGTATCTGCAACGGCGCGCCGGGCGCGGGGCGCGGGCACTGACTTTAAGTCGGGCCTGTCCCCCTACGGGGGGATTTTCGACGAAAAAGAAAAAATACACCAAAAATATTCCAAAAATAATCATCAAATAGTCTGGGGCCTATTTTTTGAATATGCTTTGACATTTTTGGTGCATGTTTGGGATACTTTTTATTTTTTGTCGAAAATCCCTCTGTAGGGAGACAGGCCCGACTTAACACTGGCTGGAAGAGCAGGGGGCGGCCGCGGAGGAGGAAAAAGTCATTGCCCTGGCCCTGCAGGCGTGCTGCAGCGGTCTCTGCGCGGATGTCTGCGTGGCTTTGTGCCCGAATCGGCGAGCGAACAACGACGTGCATTGCGCGTGGGTTCTTCTTGGTCATCATTCCTGACACAAGCATCCGCATGGAATTCACCTCGAAATCCGGAACGAAATTCTCCAGGACACCCCGGGCCCACCCGATCGTCTTCCGAGCGAAATCCGCTCTGCGATGTGGGCGCCATGAAAAGAGGGAGGAGAAACCCACTAGAGTTACACAGATCGTGCGAAAAGACTCGACAGTCAGGTACCGGATCAGAGATCGCCAGCACCAGCCGCCCCAGATCAGCTGCAAGCATGTCGAGGGTCAACCTGGCGAGCTCGGGAGCGGCATTGCGCTGCACACGGTGCTGAGGCAGCACGACACGGGCGGCACGGCGGCGTCGCTGGCTGGTCGCACAGGCCCGCAAGCGGAGCTGTGGTGGGGTCCAGGGAAGGGGGCGAAGCAAGGCAGGGTCTGCCAGGCTGGAGCCAAGACCCCATGTGGAGGTAGAGGTTGGGGTGGAAATGAGTGGAAGTATAGGTAGGACGGTGAGAACAGAGATAGAGGGGGAAGTAGAGCTGATTATGAGGAAGAGGTAGACGTAGTTCTGATCAGACGTAGAAGCAGAGGTAGAGCCAGAGGGAGACGTTGAGGCTGAAGTAAAGCTAGAGGAAGACGTAGAGGAAGAGGTAAAGACAGAGGTGGAGGTGGACTTTGAGATAGCAAGAGGAAAACAAAACGCTTGGGACCACACCTAGCTTAGCAAAAGCATCCTGGAACGGCCCAGGCAAAGTCAGTGCAAAGGCGGGTCCTTGGCAGGGTACTCCGTCTTGAAATAGTCGACCTCCTCCTGAGGAGTTCGAAGTCACGCTTGCATGCAATTACATGAAGCATCCCCACAAGTAAGCGTGCACGCATCTACGATGTCCGATCAGAATGGGGTCTCACAGGTTTACGAGGCTTTACAATATTTGACCTGACCATGCACACGACAAGCGCGCACAAGAACGCACGGACAGAGCAAATGAAGCCAAGCATGCGCATACCCACGAGACGCGCTCTGAATAGAATTCGTGCGTGCATCCGCCTGCAGCAGCACCCACACGCGCGCTCATTCCGAAAACAGAGCTTGCACTCAGGGTGCCTTAACCTGTTCCTGGACGATTACCTGGGAGCTTCAGGCTTCGCCCCGCCATCGCCAGTGGGAGCCTCGTGGGCGCCTCGTGCGCCTGCTGGGTGCTCCAGGTGTTCGCGCCGTCGCCAAACTTGAGCAGGGACCGACCGTCCAGGCATTCATATAGGCCGACCTGTTCCGAGAAAAAAAACAATGTTCTTAGAACAGAAGCCCCATGTGGTCAAACACGACAGAATCGGCCAGAAATGTTCTAGGAACATCTCTCGGGAGCGGCCAAGAGAGGGGTGTCCAAGAGGAGGGGGGTGCAAATCATGACCGGCGGCATGTGCGCGGCCCAGCGGGGGGGGCCAGGGACGCAATGAAATAAGAAGAGGCGCCATGAGATCTGGGGAGATATCATGCCCCCCGCCATGATATCCACCCCCCCCTAGTCATCACCCCCCTCTTTTCCGCCCCCGAGTGTTCAAACACGGCAGCATCGGCCAGAAATGTTCTAGGAACATCTCGTGCAGACCAGCAGGAGGTTCTTAGATCGGCCACACGCAAGAGTGACGCTGGGTAAGAGTGACCTCTGGTGCGCGACTTTTTTGGGGGGCCACCGGGGGGACCAGACCTGGGCACACAAGCAGCTGCGACTGCTTCGTTCTCGGCCATCTGGGGACCCATCTGTGCCCGCACCGAGGGCCACTCCGGCGAAAGGTCACTCTTACGTCTAGTCGATTAGAACACTCCCTGGTACACCCTGCGAAATGCTTAAGAAATCATGGGTTAAGAAATTCATAGTCTCAGAAATTGAATAAAACCCAGAACTTCTATCAAAATCTTGGGATTTACATTGAAAAGTTAAGAATAATCGAGACTCTGGCCGAAAACTTAGGTTTTCTTAAGCATCGCCTAAGGTGTAGGCCTGCAGGCGAGCCGGGGCGCCGCGCCCCTGCTCGACACACACAAAGGGCGCCGCGTGCGCCCCCTTTGGCGCCGGCCGAGGCGTCGGGGCCTTCACGCCTCCGCCGCCCGTGGGCGCCCCACGTCGGCGCCCTGTGCGGCAGCCGCCCCTCTCTGGGGGTGAGCATTACCGGCCTCGAACGCATCCAAAACGACGCGAAGCTCGGGACAAAATCGGATCGGGATAACTCGAAATCTCTGAGCATCGGCGGGTTTGGTATTGGGCGCCGCGGCCGCTCCAGAGCGTTCCGGAACGCTCTGAGAGCGCTCCAGAACGCTCTGGAGCGACTTATCCCGATCCTAGCCCTGTTTTCGTATCCCTATCCCTAAGATTGACGCGCCAAAAGGCGATGACAATCTCAGGGATTCGCCCTCAAAAAAGAAGGGAACTTCTAAGATTGGCATCGTGAGGAGGAGGTGCCCAGCACAGGGATAGGGATATGTTCCAGGCTGGTAAAAGCACGCGTGGACCTCTTGTCCTACCGCCCGGCCCGCAGCACGAAGTCGGGCCTGTCCCGCTACAGGGGGAATATGCAAGAATTGTCACACCGAAAAGAGAACACAAAAAAAAGCAGGGGACTACGTTTCACCATTTGGGGTTATTTTTGGTGCATTCCGTAGGTATTGTTTCATTTTTCGGGGGGACATGCCCGACCTAACCGTAGCATGAGGATGCGCGATCAGGATGTAAGGGCCTTGGACGCCCGTTTCGAAGCTTTTCGAGCGGAGCGCGGCCCACGGAAAGTGGCCAAGGGTGGACCGAGGAGGGCAGGATGCAAGGGGCACCCGTGGGAAGGGTGCCAATCCTCACCATGCGGGTTGAGGGTGGACTGTCACGAAACGCAGACGCTGCCCCCATGCCGAGGCCGGTGAGATCCCTCGCACAGGCCACCCCGGTAAAGAGGGGTAGCTGACTGTTCCTAAAATTCCGCACGCGCGCGCAAGGCGGCCCTCGAGGCGAAAGCCCCGCCAAGAGCGAGCGAAAGCCGCCAGTGAGCGCGGAGCAGGGCAGGTCGGGCCGCAAGATGGCGACGGGACGGTGCCAAGGTAGCCTCAAGGTGGCCCAGGATGGCCCAACACAGTCCAACAAACTGCACGGACGGCGCTTGATGGCAGCAATCTCTCTCCTCGGATGCTTTCTCAAGGTTGCTCTCATCATCAGCGCGTGCTGTTTGAACGCGTGTTGGGGTTCCTGCCTGTGCGGGCTTCAAGAAGCTCGTCGGGCCCCCAGGTGAAGGACTGCAGGCGAGCCCTGAGAGGGCCCCCAAAAATTCCCGCCAGGCCTCTGGGCGTAAGTGGTTTCACGAACTTGTGCCTGAAATCCCTCCTTCTCACCGACGGCCAGCCTTTGGAGCCACCATGGCCCGCCAAATAGCCACCGAATCCCGAAGGAGTTGCGCGGCAATCTTATATGTTTTGACAGCATGCAGCGCTGGGCGCGTAGGCCAGCCTGCAATGACCCCTGACGAGCACCCATCTTGACCCAGACATCACCGCCGCGCGGCAGGGCGCGCCTGCACACTGAAACCCTAAGCAAAAATCAAGTTCGTCTGGAATGGATTTCGGCGCGCGGCCCTTTTCGTCTCCAAAGAAAGAGCCACTACGATCTTTCCCCTGCTCGGGGGAAGAGGTCTCATTACTGCTCCTTATTCATATACACCCCCTCGCTCAGGCGACCGGGGGCTAACCGGAAACCATGTCAAGAAATAATACAAACATCACTCTGCCTCCACATTTGGAGCATGCGCGGCCAACCCGATGCGGCCACCCCCACCATCCCTGTCAAAAAACAATGCAAAGTACACTTTTGGGCACTTCTCGAGTCCTGTTCGTGAAGCCCGCAAGCACTTTGTATTGTTTCTGACAAGGACGGCGGGGGTGTCAGCATATTCCTGCTGTGCGCAGGGCTACCATCCCTGACTAAAAAACAATACAACACGCACCTCGCGGCTAAATCTGGTTCATGCGCGGCCATCCCGCGATCACTGTCAAGTGGTGCAGGGACGGCGGGGGTGGTGGCGCGTGGCCTGCTGTGCGCAGGCCCACCAGGCACAATGATGGACGTCGGTTTTCGACTAAGATGGCGGGGGCCGACATGCTTCCCGATAAATGATGTCACGTGCGCAGGCGCACCTGCCGCACTCTGCACGTGCCCCGAACGCGGCGCACCTGGCGCGGCTGGAGGGTGCGGCACACCTGGCGCACTCGGAGCACGTGGCGCATCTGGTGCATCAGGCGTGCCTGGCACGCTCGGGCCCCAGGAGTGCCTGGCGCGTGTGGCGCCCCTGGCACGCGTGGCGCACCTCGCCCAAGCGTCGCGCACCTGGGGTCGGCTTTGGTTCCCAGTAGCTGTCCATCCACAGACGACCGCTGAACATACTTAGGCTCGGGTGTTACTGATGTGAAGGGAGGGCGGGTGGGAGTGAGCTAGACGGCTTGCGGGCGGGTGGGTAGCTTGACCCATGCCCTACCCCCTCCCCTGGGCCGGGAAGGGGGGGGATGTGTCGAAGGATGATGTTTGGTCCGAGGTGGCTCCAAGAGGGCCTCCGCGAGTCCAAGATGGTGTCCAAGATGGGCCAAGATACCCCAAGATGGCTCAAGACAGCCTCCGACGCACATCCAAGAGGCCATAAGATGGCCTGAAGCCGGTCCTGAGTGCCCGCCGAGCCCCCCGAGGACCCATCCCCCAAAAGGCCAAAGTGGCTCCAAAACCTAAGGAAAATCAACGTGTTGTGCCTTCTCGCTGTTTCGCTTCCGACTGGCTTTGGGGGCCTCAAGATGGCCCCAAGACAGTCCAAGAGGGGCCTAGGAGGGGACAAAGAGGGCCCCAAGAGCGCCCAAGAGCGCTCCAAGAGCGGCCCCAGAGGGCCCAAGACGCCATGTTTGAGCCTCCGAGGGGGGGACACGAATTATTAGACCCCCCTCTTTTTGAGCCATGGGGCCCAAGACGCCTCCCAGACCCCTCCAATGAGCCCCAAGAGGGCCCCATGGCCCCAAGAGGGCCCCATGACAAAGGAAACGAGCCCCAAGAGTGCCCCAAGAGGCCCCACGGGGCCCCCAAGAGAGCCCCTAAGATGGCCGCAATCGTGCATCAAGAACCTCTGACAACAACCTATCTCCAAAGCCCGACTGCTCCTCCTCCTCCTCCTCCTCCTCCTCCTCCTCCTCCTCCTCCTCCTCCTTCTTGTCATCGTGCGTTCCTTCACTCCTCCTTTTCTGCCTCCTCCCTCCACCTCCTCCTTCTCATTTTCCTCGTGCCACATTCCTCCTCCTCCTCCTCCTCCTCCTTCTCCTCCTGATCCTCCTCCTCCTCCTCCTCCCTCCTCCTCCTCCTCCTCTCCTCCCTTCCTCCTCTCCTCCTCCTCGTCCTCTCTTCCTCTATTCTTCCCCCTCCTCCTCCTCCTCTCCTCATCCTTCTTCTTATTCCTCCTATCCTCTCCTCCTCCTCCTCCTCTTCTTCTTCTTCCTCCTCCTCCTCCTCTTTCTCCTCCTCATCCTCCTCCTCCTCCTCTTCCTCCTCCTTCTCCTCCTCCTCCTCCCCCCACAGCGGTCCCAGGAGATCGAGCATCGAGCATGGCTCAAGATGCTCACGATAGGCTCCGACGACCTCTAACCGAGCCTGGCCCAAGATAGCCTCCAAGAGGCCTCAAGAGAGCCTCTGGTCATGTCTGGATGGGCTGGTGGGGACACGCGACTCGCCAGGGATCCGCAAGCACAACGAAGGGCAGAGGGAGGCCGGTCCCGAGATGGCCCCAAGGCAGCCAAAGAGGGTCGAGCCCCTCGCCCTGGCGCTCTTCGCGCGCAGCGGGCTCCCGATAGACTGTGACAGGAGGGGGAGGGGGAGGACAAGGACGAGGAGGACGAGGAGGACGAGGAGGACGAGGAGGCCGAGGAGGAGAAGGAGGAGGAGGACGAGGAGGACGAGGAGGACGAGGAAGAGGAGGAGGAGGAGGAGGAGGACGAGGAGGAGGAGGAACATTCGGGAGACCCTCCGCCAGGCAAAAAGAAAAACATTCGAGGGCACCCTCCCACAGGATGCCCAACAACTCCCAGCAAGCACGAGGAGTCATGAGGAACACTAGGGTACCCTCCCCGAAGCAACCTCGATCGCGCACCTCGGTCCGACCGTATCGGCTGATCCCTGCTCTGGCTCATCCCTGCTCAATTGGCATCGCCTGCCCGAACTTCTGCGACAAGGCCAGACATGCTCCACCCCGTGCGGGCGTGAGTAGGCGAGCGCACGAACGAATCACCTGCGCTGTGCAGCTGAAGACAGCGGCGGGGTGAGAACGGCAAAAAGCAAACGGCAACAGCACGACGCCTTTGAGAACATCTTCCAAATCACCATTGCGTCTTCGGTGACCGAAGTACAAGCCTTGGCTCCGTCAACGGTAGTGGAAAGAAACGTCACGAAACTTGCAACAATCCCCGATGCCCCGCTGTTCTGGGACTTACTGATCCTGCTTGTGCTGCTGATCCTGCTGATCATGTTAATGGTCCTGGTGTTGCCTCCGACTGCTACTACTGCTGATCATGATCCGCATTCCATTCGTCCTCCAACAAATGTCTTCAACATTGCACCCTCGATCATCGCTACTGCGATGCACACGTGACGGAAACAGAAGACAACAGAATAATAAATACCCTGATGCACGCAATATTACACATAATCCAGAACGGTGCGCAGAAGCGATGCAATGACGCTCATAGTGATACCAATGAACGTTGCTATCACAACTGATTACTGTTGTACATATGCATATGGATATATCGATTAATACAAACATACATACGTACATACATCGGAGGTTGGGGGGTAAGGTCGCAGTGGAACGGAGAGCCCCCCACCTGGAGATCGGTTTCGGTTTCGTGTTCGTGCCGTGCGTGCGGGCGAGGCCAAGCTGCGTGGGCGCGCGAGGGGAGCGATGCCGCCGTGGCTAGGGGCAGTGGAGCCGGTTGTCCGCCCCTCACCCCCCCAGCGCGCGGTGGCCCGGGGGTGTCCCGTCGGTAGCGCGTCGGTGTCCCGTCGGTAGCGCGGGGTGCTGCATCGGTGGCGCGGGATGTCCCGACGGTGGCTCCAGGTGTCCCACCGTGGTGTCTCGATGGTAGCTCGTTGGAGATCGATAGTGAGATCGATAGTGAGATCGATAGTGAGATCGATTGCGTGATCGATCGTGATCGTGAGATCGATCGTGAGATCGAAAGATCGATAGTGAGATCGATCACAACAGATCTTTGGCCGGGGGTGCCCCGCCAGGGCTGGGGGTGCACCATCGTGGTGTCCCGATGGTGTCTCGTGAGATGGTGAGGGTGGTAATGAAATTTCTTGTGAGATCGATATGAGATCCATAGTGAGATCTCTTGTGAGATCGATAGTGCGATCGACATCGAGAACGATAGTGAGGGTGCCCCGCGGAGGTGCCCCGCCAGTGGCGCGGGGTGCCCCATCGGTGGCGCGGTGTGCCCGGTCGGTGGCGCGGGGTGCCCCGACGGTGGCTCTGGGTGTCCCGCCGTGGTGTCTCGATGGTAGCCCGTGAGATCAGTTGTGGCATCGATACTGAAATCGATGGTGAGATCGATTGCGTGTTCGATCGTGATCTTGTGATCGATCGTGAGATCGAGAGGTCGATAGTGAGATCGATAAGGAGATCGACAGTGAAATCGATCACAACATATCTTTGGTTGGGGGTGCCCCGCCGTGGCTGGGGATGCCCCATCGTGGGGTCCCGATGGTGATTCGTGATATCTCCTGTGAGGTCGATAGTGAGATCTCTTATGAGATCGATATTGAGATCGAGAGTGAGATCCATCGTGAGATCGATTGAGCGATATATAACTAGGGTCATAGTGAGATCGATGGTGAAATCGATGGTGAGATCGGTGAGATCGATCGTGGGATCTGGTGTGAGATCGACAGTGAGATCGATTGCGAAATCCATTGTGAGACCGATAGGGGGACCGATAGTGAGATCGATCACAACAGATCTCACTATCCATGGGTCGTGTTCGTCCTCGCTCCAGCAGGCACCCCACGCATTGCAATCACCACGGCCATGGCTACCATTGTTCTTCCATAATGGTCTGGCGTTGTGGTGGCACTTATTTGGCCCGCTAGTGTTCCGATGATGTCCCGAGATTGCCCCGCTGGTGTCTCGATCGAACTGGAAGCCACTCGCTGTGAGATCGTTAGCGAGATCTGTTGAGAGGCCGATAATGAGATCAAAAGTGGGATAGATTGTAAGACCGACAGTCCGTCGATAGTGAGATCGATTGTGAGATCGATACCGGGATCGATAATGAGATCGATAGTGAAACAGGTAGTGAGATCAGTCGATTGGAGTCGCATGCGAGGTCGCATTTGCGTGGTGTAAGCTCCATCGCGGCTGTGTCGCCTTCGTTGCCATGAGCGTCATCGTGTAATGTCGTCATCTCATCGCCATCACAGTCATCGCAGTTGTTGTCAGTGATGGGTGTTCCTCCCCCCACCACCAACCTCCTTAACACCCGATTACTCAAATGGTGGCCGTACAGGTAATTATAGGCATAGCTACATGAATGCATAAGTATATGTACGCATGTGTGCATACATCTGTTACGTATCTACACATATGGGTACAAGCACACATAAGTACTGACATTCAGACGTATCTATATATATATATAGATGTATATATAAACTCATACATACATACATACATGCATACATACATGCATGCATGCATGCATGCATACATACAGACAGACAGACAGACAGACATACAAGAACATCCAACAAACACGAAGACCACTAGGGTACCCTCCCCGAGCCGATTTCTATCTTGTACCTCGGTCCGTCCGTACAGTTCGAGTCCCTTGCCCCAATCCAATCTGTCGCCCTTCGGCCCGGAGCCACGGAGTGCGTGAGCCCTTCAGCACGCACGCCGCTTCTACTGGCGCGCCAGCCGCAAAGACGGATCACGGCACCGCCGGGCGGGGCTTTGCCTACTCGTAGGGCAGAGGTAAGCTATACCTTCGCATGCTCAACGTGCGAGCTGATTCCGCAGCAGCGCAGCATTTTAGGGGAACAAAAAATGGCATAACCATAAAAAGTCAGAGGTCCGCGCGGATTTCTCGGATTGGCGCTGGACCCCCCTCCCTGGCGCGCGAAGCGCGCCAGGGGCGGCGCCGGAGGCGCTCCGGGGGGCCCTGGCGCGCCCCGCGCGCCAGGGAGGGGGGTCCAGCGCCGATCCGAGAAATCCGCGCGGACCTCTGAGTTTTTATGTTTGTGCCACTTTTTGTTCCCCTAAGTTTGTTTCTACGGGATGAACACAGTCCACAGTGACGCGATGCCAGCGTTCGAGGTGCGGCCGGGGAGCTCGCAAGAGATGCTCTGCCGCGGGACCGCCGCCGCCCCTCTCTCTCGGGGGCGAGGCGCTGTCGCGGACGAGGGGGTGAGCGGAGGAAGGAGGACGAAACCACACTATACTTAAGTCGGGCCTGTCCCCCTACAGGGAGATTTTCGACGAAAAATAAGAAATACCCCAAAAATATTCCAAAAATTGTCCAAAAATAGTCTGCGGACTATTTTTTGAGTATTGTTTGCCTTTTGGGGGCATTTCTGGAATATTTTATATTTTTCGTCGAAAATCCCCCTGTAGGGGGACACGCCCGACACAGCACTACACCCTCAAATAGCGCGCCAACCGACCTGGAATGGGGCGAGCAAGACGCGTAGCCAAGAAGCTGGGGAAACGGGCCCACGTGACGATTTTATAGCACCCCTGTGGCGCATGTTGGCCGAGTTTGAAAAGCCAGCGCGAGAGGAAAGACGAGACGGAGGAACGGGGAGGCAATGAGAGGAGACGGGCAAGGTCAGGCGTGTGGGTTGGGCGAGGAGAAAATAGATCGCACAACTCCAGCGCAGAGTGACAGCTCAACAGTGCCTCGCAGATCTTCGAATGGATCGATACTGCGAACTGCAAGGACACATTACATCGGCACCGCTATCTCGCAGCTGGTGCCGCTGCCGCACCTGCTCGCCAGCATCACTCCTCAACACAGGGCGAATATTTAGAGCTGGGCATCTCCTTCTTACCTGTCTTATCGCTTTACCTCACCGCGTTGTTAGTGGGCGGTGGGCGTAATCAAACTTGCCCGCCATCGCATCTAGGATGAAGCTCCTTGAGATGCTACCCTTCGTCATCGGGTCGGCTCGCATGTCTCGCGTGTCACGCCAGTCCTCGATCTGCTTAATTCGAAGCTGGTCGGCCAGACACCACAGATGCCCAGCCATGTTGGCATACGCGAACCCAGGGCCCTGCCCAAAAAAACGTTGCACCAGGAGCACATTGCGATACGAAGTACAACATGACAACACCGCACTCGCGGCCAAACAAACAACTAGATCGGGATCCAACTTGATGAAGTGGCAGCCCAAAACGCTTCCATTAGGACATCCGGGTGCGAACACCAAAACGCCATGCGAAACCAAAACAAACAAATAAGCAAACAAACAAACAAACAAAACCATGACAAACAAAATCATCGTATAGTGGCGCGGGTGGCCTGACCCATCGATGTAACAATCCGAACCCACCCAAATCTGAAGACGAAGAGGGGAAGAAACAGCAAGGGCAGGAAGAGGAAGGACGGACGCGAAGCCAGATGGGAGAATAGAACCATGGAGGGAAGCGTCTCATCATGATTTGGCCCAGCCCCCTCCCCGTCGGGCAACCGTTGGCCCCGCTATCCGACCTACCCACTAAAGGGCAAAGATACCGTCTCCGTCAGGCGTCGCGGCATCTGCCCCCACATCGAAGGGGTAGGCTGATGGCGCTACGGAGCCCTGGCCCGCAGGGGATGGGGACAGGCCTGACGATGCTGAGAGGTCCTCGAAATTCCGAATCACGTGCCAAGCGCGGACTCTGCCATCCCCGCACCGCCGCTCCCAGGGCCTCTCCCGGGGCGCGTTCAGACCAGGATCTCGGGGCAAGCCCAGCCGTGGCGACGACAGGCTACCAGGAGCCCCGAGAAGGCGAGCACGAGGGAAGCGCTTACGCCGCCAGTTCGAGCAACAAGTGGCTCGCAGGCGTCCGCCTGCCGAAGGCCACGCCATGGGATGGTTTGGACTGCCCAGATCAGCGGTGCCCCCAAGGAATCGGAATCGGAGTCGAGCTCTGGGGGCATCAGGTCCGATCGCCCGCTCGTGAGAAGCCGGGGCTGCTCCGGGTCTCTCTCTGCACCAGTTTATGACAACCATCTGCCTGCTGCGAGGCCCTGAGGACCCACCGGGAGGAGGAGGAGGAGGAGGAGGAGGAGGAGGAGGAGGAGGAGGAGGAGGAGGAGGAGGAGGGCGGCGAGCGCGCGCGGATGATGTCCGTGGCTCTGGCCCAGGTCGAGCTCGACTTCGGCGAGGCCAAACGGGCAACCCTCTGGCTCCGCTGACTGCCGACCTGCCTCCTCGGGAGCGGCAAAGAGGGGGGTGTCCAAGAGGGGGGGGGGTGCAAATCATGACCGGCGGCATGTGCGCGGCCCAGCGGGGGGGCCAGGGACGTCATGAAATAAGAAGGGGCGCCATGAAATCTGGGGAAATATCATGGCCCCCGCCATGATATCCACCCCCCCCTAGTCATCACCCCCCTCTTTTCCGCCCCCGATGCCTCCGTGACTGCAGCGCCCGCGCGGGAGCCGGGGGGGGGGCCTCGGTGAGCGGCCTCTTGCGGGTCGCCGCCTGCGACGGGAGCCCGCTGCAGGACTGGGTCACCATGTGGGCAAACCTGGCCGCCCCACGGGGTGGGGGGGGGAAGTGGGAGGCATCGGGGATGGACCCAGACCCCCTCGGGCAATGAAAAAATCATGACGGGAGGTTTTTCTTAATTTTCGGCCTTTGGAGGCCCTCACCGGCCCTCGGGACCGTCAAAAAACGACTCAGGATGAAAAACCGGTCCCTGGGAATGGGTCGAGATCTCTGGGGGTCGACGTCATGAAAAAATCATGACGTCGGGGGTCTGGGGAGAGAGCCCCCCTTTAGCAAAACGTGGTTCAGTGAAAACGACCTCGGGCCCCAAACCTGGCGGGCGGAAGCCTGGGAAACGACGGCCGTGGCGCCCGCAAACGGACCATGCACTAGTCGACGTGTCAGGATGGGGGTTCTGTCCACCCCCAGAGGCAGGGAGGGAGGCAGCGCACCCCTGCCCAGGGCTTCACTCCACGCGCTCTCGTGAACAGCAGCCCAGGTCCGGAGATACGAAAGGTCTACGCGAACAAAAGCCCTCCGAGAACACGCCTAGGGTCCAGCATGCCTCGCATTGCGGGGCTCAGGGAGGCATCCGCCACGGGGCCGAAGAGCTTGAATATTATGCGGCTGCTGCTGCTCCCAGCGAGGACATCGACGTCGAGCAAGTCGGGGTGCAGCGTTTGGCTCCTGGAGAGAAGTTCGACGTCAGTCCATCGTCTGGCGTCTTCACGGGCCCTGCGTGCTGTCAGTTTCATGGAACTTCTGATCGTGACTTCCTCTTGCGCGTGTTGGGGTCATGCCTGCCAGGACGTACCGCCAGTCTCGCCTGACCCTTCGCTCACCAAAGGCGGGGCTGTCTTCTGACTCTTCCTTCGGGATAGAAGAGGGCACGACGCCCGCTGCAGCGAAGAGCGGTCTGCCTGAACTATATGGCGGTGGGCCCCGGAAGGGAACCCTCAGCGGAACCCTGGTGGGCCGCCTTGGTGTACCGGCAGGTCCGTCTGGCTGCCTTTCAACGGCTTGCTGGAGCTCGACGTGGCCGTCTGCAGGGTGGTCCTCCGTGCGAGGGAGCGCAGCCTGGCGGCTGGGCGAGGAAGCCTGGTGGCCCGCTCGCATTGGCCGTGCCTGGTGGCAGCGTGCCGACGGCGTGCGTGTACTTTGGTTTGGCGTCCGGGGGGCGTAGTGGCCCCAGGCTGGAGAAGCGGGAATATGCGATCGCCAGGAGTCCCACTTGTGGGGTGCCAGCCAGAGGAAATGGGAGAGGGGGAGGGGCGGCGGGAGAGGCGGAGAGAGGGGAAGGGGGGGGGGAAGGGGGAAGGGAAATGGGGGGGGGAGGCGGGGAGAAAACGAGGGGCGAGGCGAGGCACGATGATCACTGTGGGCCCCGCTGCTCTCGTCTCTGTCTCGATGGCGCAGTGGGGGGGGAGGCGGGAGGAGAGGGGAGGTTAGACAAGCTAGGTGCGCTCGCGTCATATCTGACGTCCTACCCCTCCCTCCCATCCCTTACCATGGCGTAGATCCCCTCTCTACTCGCACAGTCGGATGTCGAGCAGGGCAAGGATCCCGAAAGGGTACGCGGAGAGGGGAGGTTAGACGAAGCTCGACCCAGGGCCCGCTGCTCTGGTCTGGTCTCGGCGGTGCGGCGGGCGGGGCCGCGGCAGCCACGGGGCGAGGTGGCGTCCAGGGCTTCGGCGTGCGGCACGGCCCTGCATGGAGCGATCTTTTCTCAGGGGAAGAGGAGGAGGAGGAGGAGGAGGAGGAGGAGGAGAAGGAGGAGGAGGAGGAGGAGGGGGAGGAGGAGGAGGAGGGAGGAGGAGGGAGGAGTACGTGGCCCCGAGGCAAGGAGGGCGCCCCCTGGCAGCAGCTGCGCCTCCTTCTCAGGGGGGCGGGGGGAGAAGGAGAGGGGGAAGGGTGGCTGTGCATCGCGCTTGACGCAATTGTTGGTGAGAAGCTGCGCGAAACGGAAAGGGGGAGAGGGAAGGGGGGAGGTGAGGAAGGGCAAGCTAGGTGCGTTCGCGCCATCTGACATCCGATCCCTCCCACACATCCATTCCTATTTCGCAGTTGTGCGTATCCGCTAACGAGTGTCATAGCGTTCCTGGAACTCTAAAGAGACCCCATCGCGTCATGCATGATCGGAAAATGGAGCTGCAGACACTGGAGGAGGAGGTGGCGCATGAGCAGGAGGATGAGCAGGAGGAAAAGGAGGAGGAAGGAGGAGGACGATAGCGAACATCAGCAGCAGGAACTGGAGCGGAAGGAGCACGAGGACCAGGGGAAGGCGGAGGAGGGGAAACAAGGGGGCGACAACGATGGAAAAGAACTCGGATGCAGAAAAGCGGTCCGCGCTGGGGCGAGAATGCTATCCTGAACGACGGGAGCAAAACGCTGATCAACACTAGAAGAACAAACCCCAAAAATATGACCGTAAACTTTTGACGGTCCGCGCTGAGTTCTTGGACCTGAGCTGGACCCACCTCCCTGGCGCGCGGAGCGCGCCAGGGGCGGCGCCGGAGGCGCCGCCAGGGGGTCCCAGCGCAGATCCAAGAACTCCGCGCGGACCGCCAAAAGTTCATGTTCATGCAGTTTTCTGTTCTTCGAAGCTGAAAGGGAACTGTGACACACAAAAAAAAACACAAATAACGGGATTCCCCATATTCTCCGATATTTTCTGGGTTTTTGTCTTCCCCCCCACTTCCCATTTTTTCCCATATTTTCCTGGGAGGCGACGATTAATTGTGTCTGTGTTTTTCCCCCTTCTGAGAAACACGTGCGCACTAGGGCGGCCAAGGCCTGGGCACCCAGCGAACAGGGCAACCAAACACAGCTCGGGAGCCGCGTTTGGCTGCGCGCCCGGACCCCCACTGGCGGCGCGCACAGGGGGGTAAGGGGAGAGGGGGAAGCCTCTTAGAAGGAGGCCGCTTCTTAAGTAGAAGGCGCGGGCTGCATCTGCGGACCAGGCGCGCGCCTCCTGAGAAGCAGGGGTGCCTCCAAGAAGCCATCCCCCCTCCCCCTGCCGCCCTGCGCGGCCGACCCTCGTCTGGCGGGTCCCGGAACCCCTGCACCAAAAAGGTCGACGTGTTCTTCCACCGCCTTCCGCCAGCCTTCCGCCGGTTACACGCAAGGGCGACCCTGGGTAAGAGTGGCCTTGGGTGCGCGACTTTGGGGGGCCACGGGGGAACCAAACACAGGCGCGAAAGACGCACCTGTCGCATCGCGTTCGGCGATCGGGGGATCCCGATGGGCCCGCACCGAAGGTACCTCCGGCGAAGGGTCACTCTTACGCCTGGTCGATTCCGCCTGCTTCCGCCCGCGGGGGCGGCCTCGTTTTACTTCCGCCGCCTTCCGCCGGCCTTCCGCCGCCTTCCGACGAGGAAGAGGTGGGCAACTCCTTCTGTAACTGAAGGGGTCCTGGGACACACAAATAAATAGACACAAATAACGGGATTCCCCATATTCTCCCATATTTTCTGGGTTTTTGTCTCCCCCCCCTCTTCCCATGCTTTCCCACCCGTTCCTGGGAGTCGACGATGCATTGCGTCTGTGTTTGTTTCCCCTCCCCCTGCAACGTTTGGGAAGCTGACTTCTTCTGTCGCCGCCTTCCGCCGGCACTCCGCCACCTTCCGCCGGCGGAGGCGGCCTCGTCTTGCCTCCGCCAGCCTTGCGCCGCCCTCCGCCCAGGAGCTGGGCCGCGCCTTCGCTCCTCGAGGGCCAGGCGAGGCCCTGCCGGTGACGCCCTGGCCGGCACTGGGCAGCCGCGCCCATTCGGTCTTCGGCGGCGAGCCCCCGGGGGGCAGGCGAGAGGAGGAGGAGGAGGAGGAGGAGGAGGAGGAGGAGGAGGAGGAGGAGGAGGAGGAGGAGGAGGAGGAGGAGGAGGAGGGGGAGGGCCTTCTCAGAAAGCGGCGGGGCTTCTCGGAAGCGCTCGCGCATCCTGAGAGGCCGGCTGCAGCTTCGGAGAATGCTGACCAGGCTCCTCACAAGGCGCGCGGGCGTCGGAGGAGCCCCGGCGCCTTCTGAGAGGGCCTGCTCCCTCTCTCACTTCCCCCCCTGGGCTCGCCGCTGAGATCTCCCTCGCCTGCAGGCTCCAGCTCATTCTCAGCGACAAGGCCGACCATCGAGAGCCCGCTACGCCTCCAGAGCTCACAGGGACGCCTGCCGCGAGGATGGCGGCCCGACAGCGACGCCTGACCGCCTGAACTACGACGACGACAGCTCCTCCTCAGGAATGACACCAAGAGGAGGAAGAGAAGAAGGAGGGAGGTTTCTAGGACCAGCCCCGCTCACCGCCAAGAGAGAAGGGGGGGGGACCAGAACCAAAGACCTTTCGCGACAGAGGGAACGAAAAACTGCATCAGCACAAACCGTCGGAGGGTCCGCGCGGCTCTCTTGGAGCTGCGCTGGACCCCCCTCCCCTGGCGCGCGGAGCGCGCCAGGCGCGGCGTCCGAGGCGCCGCCTGGAGGCTCTGGCGCCGATCCGAGAGATCCGCGCGGACCGCCAGAAGCCTATGTCTTATGCAGCTGTGTTCTTCTTCGAAGGATATGGCGGCCCCACGACGACGCCTGCCAACCTCGAGTCGAGTCTAGATGCAGATGGGGCCCTGGCAGATGGCGTCGGAGGGTCGCGCCGCATCGCCGACGCATCGCCGACGCATCGGCGATGCATCGGCGATGCATCGGCGACGCATCGGCGACGCATCGGCGACGTCGGCGTGGAGGAGGATCGGGCTCCACGTCGAACCGCATCACCGATGCATCGGCGATGCGGCGTGATCCTCCGACCCCTTCTAACCCGACCCCATCTGGGAGGCCTGGAGGCCCGGCCCGCTGCTGGACGGCGACCCGCTGAAGCACCAGACGCTCAGCAGGTAGTCGCACGGGCTGCGGACCCTGAGGCCAGGCGCCGCGAGCAAAACCCCAGCGCCGCGAAAAACTACGACCAGAACTCCGGCCCCGTCCACAGCGAAAACACGTGCTCAGGACGGGCGCCAGGGACGCAGGACCCTTGGATTATGTCGGGCGTCTCCCCCTACAGGGGGTTCTCAACGAAAAATAATAAAAAAATGCCCCAAAATAGCCAAAAAATAGTCCCAAATTAATCTGGGAACTATTTTCTGAATATTTGTTGACCTGTTCGGGGCATGTTTGGTGTATTTCCTTATGTTTCGTCGAAAATCCCCCTGCAAGGGGGCACGCCCGATGGAACCCTTGGAGGCCGAAGCCGGGCCGCAGAGGCGACGAGGGCACACCCGGGAGGCGGCGCGCGCCCCCACGCTGCACCTCGGCTGCCGAGGAGGCCCGGGGCCACCTCCCGGGCGACTCCGCCCGCGGCGGGGCGGCGTCGGGGGCCGCGTGCGCCGGGCCTCCCCGCCCTACGCGGCGGAGGCCGCGCGGCGGCGCGCCGCGGGCGGCGCGCCGCGGGCGGCGCGCCGCGCCCGCCCGCGGAGAGAGAGAGAGAGAGGCCGAGGGCGGGCCGGCGGGCCGAGGGCGGGCACGGCGCCTCGGCTCGCGCAGGGGGCGCGGGAGGCTGCGGCCCCGCAGCCCTCTCGGGCGCGGCGGCAGAGACGGCGGCGAAGACGAAGGCGAAGGCGAAGACGACGGCGACGACGACGGCGAGGACGAAGACGACGAGACGGCGACGGAGACGGCGGCGAAGGCGAGGGCGAGGACGGCGGAAGGGCACAGCAGCGACGAAGGCCCGCAGCGACGAGGACGAAGCCGACCAGAGCGAGGGCGACAGCGGCGGAGGAAGAGGAAGAGGAAAAAGAGGGAGGTGAGGTCGTGCACTCCGTCGGCAGCTGCTCCGGCCCTTGCCGCTCGACATATGAATGATCCATCCATCACCGCGCTGCTCGATCCTGCACCCAATGCTCCGCTGCATGTTTCCCGCGAGTCCTCGCTACCCGCGAGAGCCAGCACTGAAACTCCGTTGCGAAGGTGGCGTTGTCCGTCAGCTTGCCAGGATGCGTGAAGAGCTCGACGGACGCAGTGGCAAAGTAGTCCTTGGAGCCTCCAGAAGCGCATCGGGTGAAGTTGGCACCAGGTGGGCATGAGTCAACTTGGGCTGGGCCTCACTCAGGGACTCAGACGGGGCGGCCGGTCTAGGCTTCTGCGCCCTCTCAAGCGCAGCTACTTCCTGCTGACACGCCTCGCGTTCGAGGGGCTTTGCTCTCCACTGATTCCCAGAGGCTTGAGAGGCGCCCCCATTGGCTGACACCGGGCCCACTGCCCCAATTACCAATTGCTCCCCCGTTCGCTCCCCCTCTCGGCTCACGCTCTCCCGCCCCAACCGTTCTCACTCTCCTCCGCCAACCCCCTATGCCCAGTGAGCATTCAGAGAAGGTCATGGGCAGTTGTCGCCTCCTTGGCGGCTCGAGGAACCACCGCCATTGCAAAACCGTCGTCCATATAGATCACATGGAGGGTTCAAACAGCCCCGAACCAAAAAACCTTGCCATCTCTTGGGAGGCCAGTCTTCCTTCCGCGGGCTTCCGCTGGCCTTCCGACGGCTCGAGGCGG